AGCATAATCCAAGGTCTAGTGATTGAGCCGTTACAAAAGTAGCAGTTCCCAAGGAACTAATTATTGAAAGACTCTTAGCAAAGGTGAAATAGTCAGATACCACTTCCACATTTTTAGAGTATTGGTATTTATTTCAGATTTAATTTCTAAGAAGGTCAAGATTAAAGTAAGACCTAGTGTCATCTCACACATGCTAGATAAGTATCTTTGCTTTATCTGTCCTGAAGAGTAAAAGCTGCTTAAACTGAACTACTCAGTCCATTATGGCTATTTGTGCCATCTAAGTCTGGAGCCTAATGGCTAGAGCTGGCCAGCTGATTAAAGTGGCAACAATCAAAATAGCAATAATAAGATGGATATGCCACATACTTTGTTTGTTCTTTTTTTTTAAACAAGCCTTAAATCATTTATTTTTCTACTCCTCTTAGGTGGCACCAGCCTGCATCACATAGTAGTGTTACCGCATCCTTTCATGCATTTAACCCAAGATGAGTCTTATTTTTGCTGCCATGTCACGATGGAAGATCTGATCTAGCTCACTGTATATTTTTCTCAGGTTTCTTATGGAATCAGTTTTCCCTGTATCTTGTGATTTTTCTGTAGCTATGTTAACAAAGTGTTGTTCAGTTTTGTTTTAAAGTAACTTTAAATTTCTGTGCCTAGTTTGTAAAAGAGACAGACAACGAGGTTCGCATGCGACTGTTGCAGTTTGTCACTGGTACTTGCCGATTACCACTGGGAGGATTTGCTGAGCTTATGGGTAAGAGTAATATTACTAAAGTATATTATGCTGTAGTTTATAGATATGCTTATCCTGAGTAAGCAACAGTCTCTGGTTCTTTTTTTAGTTTACATGTTACCTAGCAGTAAAACACATTAATAGTTCTATGGCACCATTACAGGTTTGTAACAAAACAAAAGTTAATTTAATCAATTTATTGTTTTCTTTATTCAGGAAGTAATGGCCCTCAGAAATTCTGCATTGAAAAAGTTGGCAAGGAAACCTGGTTACCAAGAAGTCATACTTGGTGAGTTCTAATATTTGAACAGGGAGTAACTATAAACTTAATTTTGTATCTGTTTTTCATTAATGTATCATAACAGATGTTTTCTCTTATTGCTTTGCAGTTCAGTAAAAACTGAATCAAATGAAAGCTAATTTGGTTAGTTGACTCAGCCTTTAGTTTTTCTCCATGCCTAATCTCCATTTGCTTTAGAGTGGCTAGTGCACTTCTTAGTATTGAAAACTTTTGTTTTCCTTTTTATTGTTATAGGATACCTTGGAGGTGAGAAGTGAAAACTTGACCCACACTTCTCCGTTTTTAAAGAGAAGCTCCAGATCAGAATTGGTGCTAAAATAGTCATATATTTCATTACAATAATTTAATAGTGAGAAACTCAAAAGTGTATAGAATGCTACTAGAAAAATTATAAAGTGAGAATCCCTGTTAACATTCAAAGCTTAGATAAGCATCTGAGAATGTGGATGCTTAACCATAGCTCTGAGCAGACCGCAGTACCCTAGCCGACTTCTTCTATATCTGTTATACTTTCCTAGTGTAGGAGTTTTTTGTTATTTTTATAAATAATGTTTGCTTAGAGGAAGGAAGATCCCTTCTTTCTATATGCCATCTTGGTGCCAGCACATTCAACACCTTTTTCCTTCATTTACTGCTGAATTCCTACTCCCCCCCTTCCCCTCCCCTCCCCTGCTTTCATCTGATGGCCTTCTTGAGTGAGTCCATATTGAAATCAAAGATGTTACCTCCCTGATTAGAAAAGCCAGACAGTAATTGCTAAAGATGGCAGGAGCAGCACTTTAGAGGTTAGAATTTCAGGGGAAGAGTTGCTCCTATAAACAAAGTGTATGCGA